TATGGATTGCGATAACAGTTGTATGAGCCCCTAATAAAATGTTTAAAAAACAACAACAAACAAACAAACAAAAAAGATTTACAACCTCAGAAACCCATAGGGGCAGTACTCCCCTTCCCTATTCTGTAGGGTGGCTGAGTGGCAACTGACTAGACAGACAGTAGTGAGTTTGGTTTGTTTTGTTTAGGGACCTTGAATACTCCTAACCAATCAACCACTGCCGAGTCAGTTCCAAGACTGTACATCCGTGTCTCCCAGTGTGGTGATACCGCCCCCTGGCAGGTGCTGGAATGATCCAAGGGGACTGCAAAAGCAGATAGCTACGCTATCCTGGATTATGGGCTACAGTACAAAAACATCAAATTTCTAGGGATGCTGAGTAATCTTTAGTCTAAAAACTGGGTGGTAGGCAATATGTTTGGGAACCTTTCTGAAAATCTTTACAAGAACAGACAACCTCATCTTTCTCCTGTAAAGTGGCTGGTGGGTTTGAACCGGCCTTTCAGTTCGCAGGCCCGCATCTACACCGCCCCCGCCCCCAGCTACCAAGGCTCTTGGAATATTCCCCCTAAACCAAAAACCAAGCCCACTAGTATAAAGTCGATTCCAACTCTTAGTGGCCCTGCCAGGGTTTGCATGTGCAAATCTTCTCCCAAAGAAGACTCCCTGGTCAGCAATAACACAGATGGTCAAAAAGAAAAGTTATAATAAATGTTACTTATCACTCCCTTTCCTAAAGAGCAGGTGGTTTATATGACTCAGCAGATGCTCACATATGAAGGGGCTTCAAAAAAAATCATGGAAAAACTCCATAATCTTTACATTTCCCCAGAAACTTTTTGAAGCCCTTGAGTAAAAGTTCACTAATTGGCTTTTGAAATAAAAGTTTAAAACTGGATAGAAAGGTGAAAACTGGATACAACTCAAAACTTTAAAAAAGTGGATAGAAAGAACCAACAAAATCAACTGCCTGTATCAAATTACTAGTTAAAAAGAAAGTAAAACTTTTGTTTTTCTCAATTCTCATTACTACAAACATAGAATTGGTCTCTCTTTCAGACTAAAGGAAATGAACTGATATTCCAACTTTCAGTCTTCCAGTGACGCCCCCCAAAAGCTTCTCTGGTTGCATGATATTGACTAGTTAATTTAAACTCATCAGCACGGCTACCAGATCCACACCGTTCCATTCTACATGGTCACAGTGTTGCCTCCTGTCCCTCCCCCCTTTGCTTTCTATTCCAATAACCCCAAAAGTGTCACAGCTTCCCACCTTACTGCCTTTGATTCTAACAGTTCCTTGAATGACAGTGTATGAGGGAAGTACACAAAAACAGCAGAATCTAAGAAAGAAATTTTTTTACAAAACCTTATCACCTTCAAAGTATGTTCCATCACACTTAATATATTTGTCAAATCTGCAATTCCATTCTTTTTTAAGATCATTTTATACGGGGTCTATTACAGCTCTTATAATAATTCATATATCAACTGTATCAAACATATTTGTACATAGGTTGCCATCATTATTTTCTAAACATTTACATTCTATTTGAGCCCTTGATATCAGCTCCTTTTTACCCTCCCTCCCACCCTCGTGACCCCGATAAAATGTAAATTATTATTAATTTCACATTTACACCGACCGCTGTCTCCCTTCCCCCATGATTTCTACCCCGCTTCTGTCCCCACCTTCCTCATACCCTCTTGGTATCACATTGCTACTCCCATTTCTGTTCCTGAGGGGTTTACCTGACCTGGATTCCCTGTGTCCTGAGCTCTCATCTCTTATCTGTACCTGTGTACATGCTCCAGCCTAGCCCGAAGTCAAAGGCAGGATTGGGGTCATGATACTGGGGGGTGAGGAAACCTCAAGGAACCAGAGGAATATTGTGTTTCATCGGTGCTATACTGCACACTGGTTGGCTCATCCCTCCTTGTGATCCTTCTTTGAAGGGCTGCTCCATTGTCTACAGATGGGTTTGGGGTCTCTGCTCCAACCCCCCTCATTCTCAACAATATGGCTTTTTGTTTGTTTGTTTTGAGTCTTCTGATGCCTGATACCTGATCCTAGGACACCTCATGATCGCACAGGCTGATGTACTTCTTCTGTGTGGGCTTGATGCTCCTCTGCGAGATGGCCACGTGTTTTACTTCAAGTCTTTAAGACCCCAGGAGCTATATCTTTTGATCCCCAGTCACCATCAGCTTTCTTCACATTTGCTTGTGCATCCATTTTGTCTTTAGCAATTGTGCTGGGAGAGTGAGCATCACAGAATGCCATGTTGTTGACCCTAGCAGCTCTGTGCAGGCACATCGTCCTAAGGGCTTAGTGTGTCGGTACGGAGTCTAAAACCTCTCTCTCTCTTTCCTTCTTGGCTTGCTTCAGTGTGGGCATGGCAGGCCAGTTTAGTGTTGTCCTCTGTAGCTTATACTTCTAGGGATGGGGTCAGTTTGGCTCTGATTGGGTCTGGCCCTATAGTTGCTCCATGTGGCTGCGCTGCCCTCAAGGTTTGGTGTCCCATGGTGGAGTCTGCATGCACACTCCCAATGCTGTGACGACATAACCAACACTCTTCCCCTGGCTGGGTTAGGGCCCTGCTCCCCAGCGCCATCGTTTCTCCCCCTGCAACTCCATTCTTGGAAACATTTTCAAACTCATCTGTTTGGATTGCTGACAGCACCTCCCTCATTTTTTCTTCACCTCTTCTACATCATCATTTCACTCTCCTTTCAAATCCCTCTTCATTAGCCGAAACAAAAAGTCACGTGGAGCGAGGTCAGGTGTGTGGGGCAAGACAGACATGCTATTATTTGCCAAAAACTGACGCACTGAGGTGGCTATGTCAGCACGTGCATTGTCGTGGTGGCAAAATGAGTCCCCCTTCTGCCACAAATCAGGCCTTTTTTGTAGCACACTGTTATGCCATCTTTAAAGAACCTCTAAATAGAAAGCTTGATGAACAGTTTGACCTGATGGAATTAAATCCAAATGCACTACGAGCTGACATGTTCATCTGTTCAGGAAGTTGACGGACATCCAGAACGAGGTTTGTCATCAACTGACATTTCACCTTTTTTGAAATGAGAAAACCATTCATACACTTAAGTTTTTGCCATAGTGCTGTCCTTGTAAGCTATGTTCAACATCACAACAGTTTCTGCAGTATTTTCCCCGATCAGGAAACAAAATTTCACAGCCACACACTCTTCTCTTAAATCCACCATCACAAAATACGGTTTGAGTGAAACTGCTTTTATGAAAAAATTCACTGGGACCACAGAGAACTTTCCCAGGCGACACCACTGGGTGAACTAACTCAGAGTGAGTTGCTCAAGCTCACCTAGAAGGAAATTGCGTACTATGAAAGCTCCGCCTAGTGGAGCTTTTTTCAAGTTGGGGGTGGGGGTGGGGTACCCCTTCATATGTTCCAAACCAAGATGTGAGCAATCTGTGGCCACATTACTTTAGGAGGGTGGCTCTGCGTGCGAATGTTGTAACAAAATCTGGATTGAGGCCCAGTTCTGCCATGTTTCAGCTATGTACATTTCTTTGGACAAGTTAATGAACTTCTTCAAGACTTATAATGTATATAAAACCAAAATGACAACAGCAAAAAGACCTATGCAAGCCTTGCTGTGAGGATTCACTGATACCTCCAAGAACTTAATGGCTGGTACCCCCACAACTCACAGTCTCAGAGTCAGTTCCAATTCATAACAGAGCAGAATTGACTGCTATAGTGCAGAATTAACTGCTCATAGAGTTTCTGAGACTAGAAGCCTTTCTGGCTGCAGAAAGCTTCATCCTTCTCCTTCGGAGTGGGTGGTGGGTTTAAACTGCGGATCTTGCCACTCTCAGCCCGACATTAACCCACTGTGCCACCACAAGGCCTTACACGTGAAAAGTCACAAAATGTGTAATATCACCAACTTCCCTCTCCCAAACCCTTTACACATATAAAATCAACAGTGAAATCGTATTTGCTGGCAGATATGCCTCTCCTGTGAAGACCAGTAATCCCTCAGGGAGGATCAAGTTTTCATCACCTCTGGTATACCGCAGCAAAGTAGTTTTAAAAGATGGCCCCTCTCACATACTCTTCTTACAACATCGATGTTGGCATTCCTCTCAAACATGGGGTCTCTGTCAGGTAGCCAAAAGTTCAGCCAGCTTCTGGGACGGTTTTGACCAAAACAGTGTATTGTTGCTACTATTAGGTGCCAAAGAATTGGTGCCAGCTTTTAACACACCAAAGTACAACAAAATGGAGCACTGCCCTGCCCTGCTCACAATCACTGCCATTTGAACCCACGGTGCAAGCACTGTCCATTCAACTCACTGAGGGTCAGACTCTTTTTCGCTGACTCTACCAAGAATGATATCCTTCTCCAAAGACTGGTTAAATTATATTACACAAAAGTCTCACCACCTAGCTCCTACGGAATATTCCAGCTGCACATCTTCTAAGACAGATCTGTTGCTTCTTCTGACATGGACAATAGTACACAGTTTGTGGTTTTCGGCTTCCGTGCCGGCTGTAAGGAGCCCCGCCGGCCACAGTCACTCTTCTTCCCTAAGCCCATCACGCACACACACCCATTCTTCGTCCGTTGTCCTCATTCACTGTCCTGCTTTCCAGTGCTTATGAGGCAACTGAAATGCTCTGACCTGAGTCAGTCACATCTTTATCCTCAAAGTGACATTGTTAACAGTTTAAAGAGGTGTTTTGCAGCAGGCTAGTCAAATACAGTATGTTGTTTCATTTCTTGACTGCTGCTTCAATGAGTGTTGATTGTGGATTAAAGCAAAATGAAATCCTTAACAATTTCGATCACATTGCTTATTGAGCCAGTTGTGAGGATTTCTGTTTTCTTCTTATTTCTGTTTTCTTTACATTGAGTTGTAATCTATACTGAAAGCTGCCTCAGCAAATGTTTCCAAGTTCGCTTTGCTTTCAGCAAACAAGGTTGCGTCATCTGCATGTCACAGATTAGTAATGAGTCTTCCTCCAATCCTGATGCTTTGTTCTTCCTCAGAGTCCAGCTTCTCATATTATCTCCTCAGCACACAGACTGAATAAGGATGGTGAGAAGCTACAACCTTGGCAAACACCTTTATAATTTTAAACCACACTATTCCCTTCTCAATGCTATCCATAGTGTGTTATCATGCACACAAATGTCTCTGCATAGTCAATAAAGCATAAGGAAACTGCTTTGGGGTGCTCTCCACTTTCAGCCAAGATCCAGCTGATGGCAGCAATGACATCCCTTGTTCCATGTCCTCTTCCAAATGCAGCCAGAATCTCTGGCAGTTCCCTGTCAATATACTGCTGCAAGCATTTAAAAGTTATCTTTAGCAAAATTTTATTTCCAAGTGATAAGATACTGCTTACTAATTGCCACATTCTTTAGGGGCGCCTCTCTTTGGAAAGGGGACAAATATGGATCTCTTCCAGTCAGCTGGCTAGGTCTTCCCAATGTCTTGGCATAGACTACTGAATGCTTCCAGCACTGCATCCGTTTGCTAAAATATTCTAATTGGAATACTGAAAGTTTTAAAACCATGAAAGGTACGAAGGGGTTCAGATCCTTTCACCATACTTATATAACCTTCATGCTTAACTAATAATCTGAGAAGCGGAGGTAAATGAATCAGAACATGGCACCAGGATTGGGAGGAAGACTCTAACAACCTGCAATATACAAATGGTACAACTTTGCTTGCTGAAAATGAGAATTCTTCATGGTGAGGATCAAAGACTACAGCCTTCAGTATGGATTACAACTCAAAGTAAAGAAAACAAAAATCCTCACAAAAAGACTAATAGACAGGATCAGCTAAACAATGAAACCAAAGGAAGTTATCAAGAATTTAATTTTACCTGGATCCAAAATCAATTATTATGGAAGCAGCAATCAAGAAATTAATGCATTGCATTGGGCAAATCTGGTGCACAAGACTTCCTTAAAGGATTAAAGAACACAGATATCACTCTGAGGACCAAGTTCCACCTGACCCGTGGTATTCTCAATCATCTGATATGTATATGAAAGCTGGACGATGAAGGAGAAAAACCAAAGAACTGAAAAGAATCTCAAGTATCCCACGGGCTGCCAGTCTTAGAAAAACGGCGAGGCGTCATTTCACTCACGGTGGGCATGTTATCAATGGAGTCTATTCCCTGAACACCATGCTTGGGAAAGGGTCAGCAAAAATGTGGAAGACCCCAGTGAAACAGACTGGCACAGTCGATGTGACAATCTGCTCAAACATAACAACAATGGTGAGGGCAGTGCAGGACTAACAAAAATCCATTCTTCATGCCTTGGCTTTACTAGCACCTCTTCAGGAACACGTTCCCTGGGTATGGAAACAACAACAATCCACTGCCAGGGAGTCAGTCTGGGCTCAGAACAGAACTGCTCCCTTTCAAAGCTATACATCTTTTTGGAAGCAGGCTGCCTCATCTTTCTTGTGGGCAATGAGGACAAAAAGCATGGATCCTTTTTAGTCTTTCAGTACGCTTTCTTCCTTCCCTTCAAAGCACTTACTACAACTCAGAGTTTTATATTTGTTTTTCTCCATCCGTTAGAATTTAAATCACACGCGATATAGGAGTTAGTCTTGTTCATTGATATCTGCCCAATACCAAGGACAGTGTGTCATATATTATGTGCTCAATAAATACATCTAAAGGATGAATGAGTACAGGAATCCACCCACGATATCAAGTCCATTTCAACTCAGCAACCCCGAGAGAAGAAAGCTTTCCAAAGCTATAAATCTTTCCAGAAGCAGACAGCCTCATCTTTCGCCTGCAGAATGGCTGGTGGTTTTTGGCCTTTACCAAAGGTTGTCTCCAGGGCTCCATCAGTAAATAAATTAAAGGGATGAATAAGTGCAAGAATGGGAAAGTAATATATTCAAGTAGGCTGATTAAGCTAGAATGAAAAACTAAGTAAAGGTGTTCAGGCCCAGTGAGGGAACTCCACTGGTCAGAGGGAAGGTTTGTCGGTATTACAAGAGTATTCAGTCATGATCCCAATTCTACCTTACAAATCTGGCTAGACCAGAGGATGTACACTGGTACAGAGAAGCAGAAACACAGGGAATTCAGGACAGATGATCTCTTCAGGACCAGTGGTGATACCGGGAGGGTGGGAGGAAGGTGGGATAGAAAGGGGGAACTAATTACAAGGATCTACATATACCCCCTCCCTGGGGGACGGATAACAGAAAAGTGGGTGAAGAGACGTCGGACAGTGTGAGACATGACAAAATAATAATAATTTATAAATTATCAAGGGTTCATGAGGGAAGGGGGCGGGGAGGGTGGGGGGATATGAGGAGCTGATACCAAGGACTAAGTAGAAAGCAAATGTTTTGAGAATGAGGGCAATAAATATACAAATGTGCTACACACACACACACACATACACGAGTATTCGGATCGCCAAAGTTAAACGAGGCCGTGCCTACCACACTGAAGGTGATCAGCTTTAGTTAACCACTGTTCTTACCACTAGGTTCTAAACCCGGAGAGAAAAGGAGGCAGAACTAGAGTGAGCTACGTCAGCCAGACTGAGAGCAGGTGGGTGAGGAGTCGTGGAGCACCTCAGCAGGACCAGGCACGGCCAACGCACAACGCAAAAATGATCACGGAACCGAGAACTGGGGCGTCAGGACCGAAACTAGAAAGACAGCAAATTCCTTTCAAGTGGTTCCCAAATCTCTTTAATGGGTGTTTTAAGGAGGGAGCTTTACCTAAGGCCACACACGCCTTAAACAGCTCGCTTCCTGAATCAAGAACTGCGTGCCATGGCTCCCCCCTCTTTCATAGTCCCCCACCAAGCAGTTTTCAAAGAAATGAATGAGTGAACCCGCCAAATTTCGCTCTTGCCGTGGGCAGCCACTCAGAACTGACCTGAGAAAGTACGGCTTGGCGTAGAACTTGAAGTCGCTGCCCTCGAAGTAGACGTCAAATTCCGAGACCCGGGCATAGGGCACGCGAATGGCAATGGTCAGGAAGTCGGGGTCCTGGCTGAGGTCAAAGGCGGGGGTCAGCATCTCCGCGCGCGATGCAGAAGTCCGCGACGGGCACACGTGGCTGCCACCGGCGACTACCACGTTCTCAACTCCCCGAATCCTACACGAATTCTAAACACGCCGCGGTCCGTCCTATTATCACGCCACTTCCGGATCGGAGAGGAAGTGCCTCTGCGTAAGGCGGCAAGGCCCACCTCACGCCGATCCCCATGGAGACGGGACGCTATTAGGAAAGAGGCGGAGCTTCCAGAAGAGCCGGGCCGGGCGAGTGGTGTTGCCGCGCAGGAATTGAACCGCGGATAAATGTTGTCGGAAAACTTGAACAAGTGCCCGCTTTGGAGAGTCATTTTAACAGTATTGGTTCGCAGGGAGCAGAATTCCGTTTGGGTCCCTTCTGCGCCAAGTCCCAGCTATAAAACCTTGGGAAAGTTACATAACTTCTCTATACTTCAGCTATCTCTTCTGGGATGCTGGCCTGTCGTGAGCCTGCCTTATCCTTATAGGACAGGTTGGAACTGTCCCTGTGCGCTCCCAAGACTAACTCTAGGGCAGTGGTTCTCAACCTTCCTCACGCCGCGACCCTCTAATACAGTTCCTCGTGTGGTGGTGACCCCAACCATCAAATTATTTTCGTTGCTACTTCACTGATTTTGCTACTGTTATGAATCGTAATGAATCTGATATGCAGGCTGTATTTTCATTGTTACAAATTGAACATAATTAAAGCATAGTGATGAATAACAATATGTAATTATATATTGTGAAATATTTATTTCTAATGACAAATAAATGAAATTTTGTCTTGAAGCATGGTGTAGCATGGGTACCAGTCTTCATGCCGGGTATCTGCATGTGGGCGGACCCCCCTAGAAACTGATAGAGAAGCGGTGTTTTCCGATGGTCTTAGGCGACCCCTGTGAAGGGGCGGTTTGACCCACAAAGGGGTCGCGACCCACAGGTTGAGAATCACTGCTTTACGGTTTCCCTCAGTGCTCACTTGCCTTGTCAATAATTCTCCTTTGGGCTCCCTTCTCTGTCGTTCTCTGTAAGTTTATCACCTCTTCTGCAACCCTTATTTAATTAGTTTTCTTAATTAAAAAACGTTTATTCCACTCATTCTATTTAGCCTGCACGACAAATTGGGAGGGAAACAGGACTCCAGAGTCAAGCAATCTGTGCTGTACATCTCACAATAATCAGAACTCAGAATTTCTGCTTTTGAGCCACATTACAGCTGCATTGATGAATTTGGATTCTTCTGTATTCTTCACCTTGTCCCTTTTCTCACTTCTGACACTTGAGAAAGGATCCCCTTTCTGTCCTTGTTTCTCTGGGCTGTGTCCCCCTCTTCCATGTGCTTCTCGTACTGTTCCCAGCCGTCTCCCACTTGTCTGGAACATTCTTCTTCCCCACACAAAACTTTTAGCCGGGTCCTCCCTCCCTCTCCTTTTCTAAACCTGTTATTTCCCCATTGGAGCTCTGTGGCACCATGTGCTGGGATGCTTGGAATGCCTACTGCATGCCAGCACTAAACCAAATCCACTCTAATGAATTCATTTACCATGCACCCCATGGCTTGCAGAGACACACCGCGAGTAGTGTGCAATGGAAACGAAACGGAAACTCTGAGCTAAGGTTCTAAATTACTACAGGGTTGACTCCCTTTACTGTTTACCTATTTCATATTCTGAGCTGTTCCTCCTCAGCTCTACCTGCTTTAGACCTTACCAAACCAAACCATTCAGATCTTCAGCTATAATGGGCACTGACTGATAATGAATTGCTGCAAACTTGGAGCTAGTAAGGCCATCAAACGGTCCTTTGAAATAGGCCTTTGGTTAAATCATTCCAAATTAGATTCTCTAGAATCTTTACATCCACATGGGACTTCATTCCTGTAGGTCACATGCATTAATATTTTAAAATTATTAATGCCAGAGAATTAACTGCAACTGGTGCTATGCTATCCACAATGAAACACTAATCAAACCCACTTTACAAACTGGAACTATGCCCTTCAAAGATAATTTATTATGTATTGGGCAACAGACAATATGGTTCACTGATACTGTGATTTATAAGGAATATATATTATATCGGCTACATCACAAAATACTGATAGTTGCAACCACATAAGAGGGAAGGTTTTAAAAAAATACAAACAAGTACCTTTTGCATTGGAGTTGATTCTCACTGATAGCCACCCTAAAAAAAACAAGCTCACTGCCATCAGATCTATGCTGACCTCTCGTGAGCCTTACAGGGCAGGTTAGAACTGTCCCTTGTGGGTCCCCAAGACTGTAACTCTTCACAGGAGTAGAAAGCCTCGTCTTTCTCCTGAGGACTGGTGGTTTCCAACTGCAGCCCAAAGCTTAACCACTTCACCACCAAGGCTCCTGAGCCACCCTATAGCACAGTGCTTCTCAACCGCTTGGGGGTTAAACGACCCTTTCACAGGGGTCGCCCGATTCATACCAGTAGCAAAAATACAGTTTATGAAATAGCAACGAAAATAATTTTATGGTTGGGAGTCAGCATAACATGAGGAATTGTATTGAAGGGTTGTGGCATTAGGAACCCTGCTATAGCACAAAGTAAAACTGCCCCAAAGGCTTTCCAAGGATGTAATCTTTACAGAAGGTTCTCTGGTGGCACCGTGGGTTAAGCATTGGGACTGCTAACCCCAGATCTGTGGTTCAAACCCACCATCCACGTCACTGGAGGAAGAATCAAGCAACCGTTTCCCTAAAGGTTGATGTCTCTGAAACCTTATATAGAGTGGCTGAGGCCAAAGTCCTGCTGCTTTGGAACCCCGCTGCCACAGCTTCCTCCTGCAGAGTGGTTCAAACTAAAACCCCCTGCCCTCCAGTCAACCCCCACTCATAGGCACCCTGCCGGACAGGGTGGAACTGCCCCTGTGGGTTTCCAAGACTGTAACTCTTTATGGGAGTGGAAAGCCTCTTTCTCTCACAGCTAGGGAGTTAAAATCTCCTGGAGTTCACTTAGGCACTGAGTGTTTAACCTTTGCATTTCCAGGATCCCTTTCAAACAATAGTTCTGCTTATTTTCATATTTTCAGTCAGTGTTGAATTGCACATCACAAATTCATTCTTCTTTAAAAAAAAAAAATTACCGACAATGTTAGTTTCCGTTGACGGCTATCCAACTTTGTTCTCTGTCCTGCTTCCCCCAAAATAAGCCCTTTTGCTCTCTCTGCAGGCCTTTTAATAATTAATTACCCATACACTTCTAAATACACTGCAAACTTTATGGTTTCACATGCATAAGTGCATCACTCTATAACTGTAACTTGGAAAGGTGCTTTTATTACATTGGTATGTTTTTGAGGCATAGCTATATTGATTCACAGGTGTGATTAGAGTGCATGTTTCTCACTACAGACACTGCTTTAAAATAAAAACTATTTCAATACTTCATGATAAACACTTTTGGAGGAAAAACAATGACATTTTTGCAAGATTTTTCATCTTTATTTAAGTCCTTCAAAAGATACAGCAACTGTATTTTGTTATTGTTCCATTTCTATCAGGCTTACTTTTGAATAGCCTTTCAGTGTTGTGAAAATGGGATTTAAAAAATATATACAGATAGGATTTTTCCATCACCAACTGTGTGTGTGTGTGTGTGTGTGTGTTATTGTTTGACGTGACCTTGTTGGTCACAAGACTCCAAGTCCATTTCAGTTTCACTCTCCTCCTCTGATGTAAGCCGCTCCCACCACTGTGTAGGTTTGAGGGCTGAGGAATCTGAAAGGCATCACCAACTTACTGGCGACAGAGATGCTCTGTCAAATTAGCCCCTCCTCTGGTCTGACAAACTGATTGTTATCTTCGAGGTTCGAACATTAAATATTAAATATTTAAAAATTAGTTTCTAGAAGCAATTCCAAGTTTGGCCTGATGTGGAAGTTCCATGATTAGAAGTCCTTTCGTGGTGAAATACCCCATGTTTCCAGAAGAGGGCCTGCCAAAGGTGGTATACTCGCGCAGAACAGTTTTAACTTAACCATGGGTTTCTAACTCTAGTTCATTCTCTAACCCGCCTTGTCGGGTTGGTGGCATCTTCCACAGAGCTTAAAGACTGCACCTGAAAGACTGTTATTATATGATTATATTTGGGTACATTGTTTTTTTTTTCAGATTCTTACTCTGTCCATAAAAATAGTTTTTTTTTATAAGGGGAATCAACTCTATATTTCCCATATCTCTATTTAATGTAGTATTACAACATTTCCATCTGATTCTATTTTCTGTTACAAGAATTTTAACCAATACTTACCTGGCAGGGGAGATACCATGATCACGAAGGTGGTTTTCCCATGGCGAGGCTTATCTGCTGCACTCCAGATGTGCTGACCCCGGCAATTTCCCCAAATGTGGAAAACTCGACTGCATCATTTGTGGTAGTGGGACTGTGTTCATGCGCTCTCCTTAACAACCTTCCCCAAAAAACCCCCAAAGCAAGTATTTTAACCAGAGGTGGCCCTTCTTATTCATTAGGATTGGTGAGCGAAGTAATGATTCAGTTTAAGAAAAAATAAAGAAAGCTAATAGTAGAAGCATCAATATAAATGACAGAACTATAATAAAAATATAGAATTAGATACAAACTACACAACACATTTTGAATCATGAAGGAAATTATTTTATATAACAATAGTAAATACTAAACACCTTGAGAGTATTGCAATTCCAAGCCATAAATAAACTTTTTCTAAGAAGGCTTGGCCAAATTAATGGATAATGACAGATAAGTTCAGAACTGTAGAAGAGGCTTAAGGGGTGATCCTATCAGAATGTAGACTCGGCCAACAAATCTGACAGTGGGAATCACTCCGATGTCTTCTTTCCCACACACACATTTTGCTGTGGTTTGGATAAACGTTTACAGAGCACATTAGTTTCCCACTCAACAAATTATACATGTTTTATTTTATGATATTAGTTGCAAGCCCCTCAATTTAACAACTTTCTTCCCAGTTCCTCCCACAGTTCCTCATTTCTTTTGTCCTTCTCGCCTGCTTTTTCCTGCCTCCTGAACTTTGTTTTAGGGCAAAAATTGCCCCTTTTTGCCTTAGATCCTAGCTCATTCTGAGGTGCTCATTCCTCATGGCATCAATGTCCACGGTCCAACCTGTCTGTTGTTTGTCTCCAAGGTGACCTCTCGGGGGTGAGCTCAGTTCCAGATTTGAAAGGTGTCCAAGGGCTAGAGTCTCAGGGGTTCCTCTCGCTTCCATCACACTGATAAGTCTGGTTCCCATGTCTCTTAAGTCCCCTCCCATTTAAGTTCATCGATCTTGAGTAGTGACGATGGTTAGCATGTCCACGGCTAACTGAAAGGCTGGAGATTCTGGGCTACGTCCGAAGAAGGACTTGACAACCACGTTCTGAAAATTCAGTCACCAAAATCCCTGTGGAGCACAGTTCACTCTCGACACACCCGGGGGCACCGTGAATCAGAGTCCAGTCAATGGCAGCTGACACTGGAATACGTAAGGATGGCGTCCGGTTCGTTTCTGAACAAAATTGAGTACAACCAGAATGTTCCTTAGCAACAAGGATGGCAAGATTTCATTTCACATACTTTGGACGTGTTATCAAAAGGGACCAGTCACCAGAGAAGGACATCGTTCTTGGTTGAGTCAGCAAAAAAGAAGATGACCGAACAGAACAGCCTGACACCACAACTACAAAACGGAGCGCAAACACAGCAAGGTGTGCAAGAACGCGCAGGGCAGACAGAGTTGTGTGCTTCTGCGCAGCGGCTGCTACGACTCCACAGCACCCAATCATGACAACAAGATTTTAAAAATGCTTGCCCTCATCCTTCAACCCATTCAGTGCGGGCTGCTAGAATGAAACTTTTCTGAAAGAACAGGGTGGCACAGTGGGTGAGGCACTGTGCTGCTAACCTGCAAAGTCAGCATCGCCAAGCCACCAGTGACTCCATGGGAGCAAAATGAAGCTGTCTGCTCCGGTCCAAATGTGCAAGCCTGGAGACCGCAGGGAGCAGTTCTAGTCTGTCCCATGGGCTGCTATGAGGCAGAATCAGCTCCAGGGTGGAGGGTGTTCGCTTTTCTTTCTTTTTTTTTTTTCATTGCCAGTCTCAACCCAAACTCAATCTCTGAAGAAAATAAAAAAGGGAACAGCTGGTCCTAGTAAGTTTTGGGATAGCCTTTCCAGGTGGTTTAACCAACAACTTAGCCACATAAATTCTAAGTTAAATCCATATTAAATTAGATAAAATCCAGACTCGCCTAGTGATGCTAACCTAAAATGCTTCCTTCATGGTTCAATATCGAAACGTCATTTGTAGCTAAAGGGCGTCTGCAGAATACACTGCTTCAACATTACTTACATGCGCTTTATGGAACCAGGAAACCTATCGTCAGGGACAGCAGTGTTGTCCGTAGATCACTAATGAACCCTTCTTCGGAGAAGAGCACAAACCTAGGGTCTTTCCGCTCGGGCCTTTGGGCCTGGCCGTGGCAGTGCTCCTGCATGGGAGGCGGCTTCATTTACAGCGTGCCTGCACTTTGTCCACGCAAAGCCAGTCACAGCCCCTGTTGTAGCAGCCACCAGTGTTTCCAGACTTTGCCAATTGTCCCGGGCAGGGCAATTGGGGGAGAGCAGGTCACACAGTCACCGAGGGTTGAGAACCACGGCCGAGATTGATGAGAGCCTTCAAGAAATAATGACCAAACCTGCCCAGGCCTACAACCATGACTAGCTGGTTTGGGGAACGGTAGACTGCCTCAATGGGGAGAATGACTCTTTCGGGTGGTGTGTGCTGCAGAATTCCTTGTGGGATAGTGCCAAAGCTAGATTTTACCTAAATCCATGTCCTTGCTTGGCTCTCCCCTTTTCCCTCTCTCCCTTCATAACCGGCCATATAGGTTTCTGCTGAAAATTTCCCTCAATAAATCCTGTGCATCCAAACCTCTGTCATAACAGATTGCCTGGGTTGAATTTTTTTAAATTTTACTTATAGTTTACTCATTATGATAGATTTTATATAAACCTGGCTGGGTGTGGTAGTCACCTAATCTGGTGTCAATTGAAGGATTAAGAGTGTAGGGGTGGAGTCTAGGCTGTCAATCTGGAGATAGCCAATGAGACTTCTGTGGGCATGGCCTTCTCCTGAGAATTCTGGGAAATCTGGTACTTCCTCCTTGAAGGCGGAAGACACCTCTCTCTCTCTCTCTCTCTGCTACTCCCTGGGAGACATGGCAGAAGACAAACCACATGGATGCAACCAGCCGGGGAAGCCACAGAGAGACCCCTGCCAGCACTGAGATGCTTACAACGCCACTAGACCCAAAGACTTTCTACCCACTGGCTTGTGAGCAACCTGCATTTGGCTTCATTGCATATGTTTCGTGAGTCTGAAGAGGATTTTATATATTGATATCGGACATATGGGCTAATATCGAACTTATGGACTTGATCTGGACTGGGCTGGGATGTTTCCTCAATGTTCGATTGCTCTTGTATATAAATCTCTTTCTTATACACATATGTGTGCATCCATGGATTTGTTTTGCTAGTACACCCAGACTAACACACTGGGCCAGGATTTTTCCATGATGTGACCTAACACAATCTGGTCCACTCTGTGATGGTATCTTCCATGAAGCAGCCACGCACTTGTAGGAAGAATAGGGCATAGCACTATCTCCGTATCCAGTTATAGTATCAACACTATTAAGGCGAGGTTTCACTCAAGGTGTGGAGCCCTAGGGGCACAGTAGTTACAGGTTGGGCTGCTAACTGCAAGGTTAGCAGTTCAAAACCACCAGCCACTCACTGGGAAAATGACAGGGTGTTGTAGTCCTGTAAAGAGTTAGAGTCTCAGAAACTCACAATGGCAGTTCTACCCTGCCCTAGAAGGTCGCTATGAGTCGGTATTGAATCAATGGCAATACGTTTGGTTTGGGGTTTTGTCATTCAGGGTATGGCCTACTCTTAGTACAGCTGGACACTATGGGGAAGCTAGCTCACTTCTGCTGGATCTGATTCCTGTATGTGGTTTGTCAATCTCCCGTCATACCACCTGCTGATCCCAGAAGGCATCAAGGGACTGCTGGTCTTGGATTCATTTGACCAAGCTGGCTTTCATTCAGCTCTGCACCTACCAGCCTGTGGTCTTCCTGCTTTGTCCTCCTGCTTCCTGGCCCATCAGCTCCTGCAGCTAAGTGAGTCAAGAAAGGCCCCCAGCATACCATCTGACCCACTGACTGGAACTGGGCTGGACTTAACCTGCTTCTACAACCGCGTGAGCTATTTCTTGATATCAATTTCTTTCTATATGCAATACCTATAAGCCTCACTGCTTGGCTTCTCTAGAGAACCCAGCCTAATATAGTCATCCTTAGCCAAACTAATCTGCTTCTTGACAGTGACCATCATATTTCCATTCCCTCCTATAGAAATTATTTAAATGCCCCACTGTTTTCTTCCGAGTGTGCTATTGAAAAAAAAAAATCACCTCCCTACCACCAAGTTGATTCTGACTGGTACAATCATCCTGATCAATTGTTTGGCAATTCCTACTGAGGCTAACTATGTGCAATTGTTACTGCCATTGACTCAGTTCCAACTGACAGTGACTCTGTGGACAATGGGACAGAGCACAGGCCCAGTCCTGCACCACCCTCTCCATTGTTGTCATGTGTGAGTCCTTGTTGTAGCCACGGTGTCAGTCCATCCATCTTATCAAAGGTTTTCCTCTTTTTCACTGACCCTCTGCTTTACCAAGCATATAGGTACTAGGGGGTTTCAAAAAGCTTGTGGGAAAATGGAAGTCTTCCATACACCTTTTGAAATTCCCTTGTCTGCCCCACTTACTTAGTCCTTGTTGTTAAGTCAGTTCCAACTCAGCAGAAGTAAAGGAGGGAGTCGAACTGCCCAGAGGGTATCAAAAGCTGGACCTCTTCACAGGAGCAGACGGCTGTGTCCGTCTTCTGCTGGGCAGCCGATGGGTGGATTCTAACAGCTCACCTTTAGGTTAGTAGCCAAGCACTTAATCTACATGCCACCAGGGCTCCTGGTGTGTTGGTGTTAGTGTGAGGTGCTACCACTGAGTCTGTACCTACGCCTGGTCCTGCATCGTGATTACAGTCATGGCTAAATTGGAGTCCATTGTCACAGTCATTGCATCACTCATCTCAGTGCGTGTCTTCCTTTGTTTTTGACTGAACCTCTACTTTACCAGGCACTGGACCCTTCTGAGAACATGTCCAAAGTGCATCAGTCTGGTCCTCCTTGCTTCTTGAAGACAGGTTTGTTTGTTCTTCTGGCAGGCCAGGCTCTTTCCAATCTTCTCCAAAAACACCAAATTCAAATACCTCAATTCTTCTTCAGTCTTCCTTATTCTTTGTCCAGCTGACAGATGCATATGAGGTGAATGCAAACACCCTGGCTTAAGTCGGGCA